AATCTTCGTTAATTTAAAAATTTCTCATTTATCCAGTTCGGATATATTATATTTTATTATAACGAAAAATGAAAAGTCTAATTTTAGATCCTCCTTAACATGGATGAATTTGAAAAATTTATCACATTTTATTTTATAATGAAAAAGTCTAATTTTTGGAAAAATTTTAGATCCTTCTTGACTCGAACAAATTTGAAAAATTTTCTCTCTTTTATTATCCAGATTTTTATAACGAAAAACGAACGAAAAAATTTTTAGAAAAATTTTAAAAGATTTGGATTATTTGGACTCATCAATTTACAATTTGATCGTACTTATCCAAAACTGAGAAAGAAAAAAAAATTGTTAGAAATTCAACTCGCATTCTCTTCTTCAGCTAAGTTTAATACAATTCTCCCTGTTTACTTTCATCTTACCAACTCCCAATCTATCGCGTATATCGATGAGAAAGTGATAGTTTCACGAGCGCTAAAATAAATCATTTTATCATAATCTATCCTCCTCCAGTCCAGTTTCCTTTAACCAACATTATAACAACGATATAACAAATATCGTAAAACTATCGCGAGCTAAACCTTAAGTTTTATTTCATACACTTTTCCTATATACCCTTCGATAAGATCGATCATATCGTCTCGTATCCTCGTCATTTTTTTTTTTTTTTCATATCGAATCGAATTCGCTCGAGATTTCCAACTCCATTCCCGGAGCCCTCTCTTCGCGGAAGAAATCGGCCGCTATTAGATAATTCGAAAGGAGAGAAGAGGCGTAGACGTCATCGAAGGAACGGACGACTCCTCGCGCTGTTTACGTAACGAGTGTCGAACGTAAACATCGTTCGTTACTTCAATTAAAAACAGTGAAGGAACGCGTTCAACCATAACAGAAAAAAAAAAGATCTACCAATCCTAACGGGTGACTCGTTAAAATTCTTCCAAGAAATTTATTATTATATTATTATATATTTATTATATAATATTATATAATATTTATTATATATATTTATTATATTATTAATTCGATCACCAACGCGATCGAAATTGTAGAAAAAAAAAAAAGGGAAATTTTTTGAAAAATCTCTTTTCTTAAAAACAAACTCTTAAGAATAAAAAAAGAAAATAAAAATTCGTTTCAGGTTACTACGCGGACGAGGTGGCGGGATGCCAAGTGTTCCACGTGTGCCAC